TAGCAACCACATCTGGTGCTGTCTTGGCCTCCTTGGATGTAAGCTGAATGGCACATCCCCGAGGCTTAGGAGGCTCTGCTCTACCCTGACCCCCATCAGTAGTCCTCAGTGTAGCCGGTGCTGGCCTGGCAGCTAGTAGGGGAAACTGGGCCTTCATATGGCCCACCTGCTCACAATGGTAATAGATTCTGACTCCCAAAGTTGGACTCTACTACATATAATCCTTAGAATATGGCCCTACTTGCCACACTTGTGGCACCCACTACCAGATCGGCAAGACCCAAAATGAGCCTTCCCACACTTTCCACAAGTGTGACCGTTCTGACCTCCAAACCTAGAATCAACGGTCTTTGACTGCTTCGGCACCGGATGCGATTGTTTTGGGGCCTGCCTCTGCTCTCTCAACTGCAACTCAATCTCAAGATCACGTTGGGTAGCAACACACTGTCTGATGTCAGCCTTGAACATGCTCAGATAACAAGTCATATGAGCCTGCCCGGATGAAAACTCTCGGCAAAACATCTCCCTCTCGAGTGAACATGAGGGTGCTCTCTTTCATTGTCTTCGTACCCTATCTCAGATCCAAGAACTCTTGTGATAGCCACTCCTGCTCAACTCGCAGAATGTAGCGAGCACGGAAAATCTCCCTGAAATGATCCCAAGTAACTGCCACTCGCTGCTCATCAGAATGTGATCTCATCATCAATCTCCACCAGTCCTTTGCTTCGAATCTTAGAAGGTTGAGAGCACATCTGACCTTCTGGTTAGCAGGACATGATCATGTGAAGAAGCATCCCTCCATGTCAAAAAGCCACCTCATAGCTATGATCAGGTGCTGAGTCCCATAGAAAGTCGGGGGTTCATGTTATCGAAGTCTCAGTACTAAAAAGCCCAACCTGTCCCCGTACGTACAGTCGGCATGGCTTTGGAGGCTACATCAGCCGTAGTCTCAACAATTGCTGCATATCTGTCATTACAATACTCCATCATGGTGGTCATTATAGACCCAAACATCTCTGGAATCTGACCCCGAACAATGTTAACCACCTCCTCCCGAATGATCTCCCTGACGCGATCCTCTATCAAAGTAGGCCTATCCTGGCTGCCAGCTCCTGATCCTAACCTAGATCCGGTCTTAAATTGCCTTGTAACCACCATAATGAAAATACACCAGGAAGATATCAGATAATCCACATAAATAACTGGGAACCACATCCTGACTAAACCTTAGGGTTTTTGACTTCCTTGCTACGCATATGGGTGCTGTGCTTTTAGTAGTATGGGCCCATACTACCTTCCAAACCTACCCATACTTGTCTCAAGTATCTTCACAATGCCCTAACAATATACATAATAATGGCGAGCACTCAATCCTCACTCCTAGAGGAAGGCTAAATATCTCATAACTGGTCGAACGACCCCGCAAAACTCATCTATAAAACTTCCACCAACCCTGCGACACTCGTGTATGCTAGTCATACATAACGTTAGACCCTATAGACTTTTAAATATCTGACCCTACCCTAAGCCCTTGTCAAACTAGAACAAGAAATAAGGCCAACCCAAACATTCTCAGGCTATAAGATCTTAATTATGTACAACTATGATGCATAGACTAAGCAACTATAGTAATGATGTCAATTTCATATAAGGAAAACCCTAGGCTATTAGGCATAATATGATCAGACAATTCTATCATGCAACTTCTTAAGATCCCTAGCCTATAACTAGCATATTGTTCTAACATATCACAATATCAAACACCTGCATGGTATTTTGGGGTCTACTTACTGGCTCCTACTCATCGTACCATCTGCCTCCTCCTTTCATATTTTGAAAACCATTTAAAAATCATTTTGAAAATCCTTTACTTTGTTTGAGACTGGATTTAGACGCGTGTTCCTCTGATTCACTCAAACTAAGGCTTTGATACCAACTTGTCACATCAATGAAATTCACGAAAATTTAAACTTTTCAAAATTAAACCAAGTTCATAAATTGTTTGCAAAATCATCCTAAACTAGTAATGTTTACAAATTGTTTTCAAATAAATCAATATCAAAATTTTCCTAGAAATCACAATCATAAAACGAGGAAGTGTACGATGATGTCTTCACCTTCTCGCGATCATTTGAAGTACCTGAAATAAAATCCAAATGATAAGCCCAAAGCTTAGTGAGTTTCCCCAAAATACCCACACAACAAATACACATATACAATAACAACATACTATGGGCCCAATCAACCATCGGGTTGGAATGCCCCAGGCCCATAACCATCGGGTTGGAATGCCAACATACTATGGGTCCAATCATCCTCGGGATGCTATACCATCGGCCCACAACCATCGGGTTTGAATTCCCATATTAGTCGAATCATCCTAGGGAAGGAATACTATCGACCCACAACCATCAGGTTGGAATGCCCTAGTCTGTTAGCCTTCGTACAAAGCAGATAAGCCTCAACCACCAATCAATCATGTTCACATATATCAGATAATCATATAACAGTTTACAGACCGACAAACCAATTTATAGATTACTAAGCACAACAACATCCTATCTACAAGGATACCGATCTAACTGATCATAGCCACATAGAACCATCCTATCTACCAGAATACCGATCTAACAGATCACACAAACAATAAAGCAGGATAACAATCCAAAGGCTGGCCTTGGTGCTTTTGACCCTTGAGTATAGTGAGGAAAACTCACTTCACAACGTCGAGCAGAACTGAAAATATCAAACTCCCGAAACACGGCTCCAAACACCAACACTTACAACCACCATTGATCTAATTCCATAAATTCCCAACTTATTAAAATACCCTCAAAAGTCAAACTTGATCAACCCTTGGTCAAAGTCAAAGTGAAAGGTCAAGGTCAACAGTCCATGTTGACCAAACTCGTCAAGTGCAACTTACAGACTCGTCGAGTTCCTTCGGAACTCATAAGATTACGAAAACCCCAGTCAAATCGCCAAGTTACTAGATAACTCGTCAAGTCCATGAAACATCTAGAGTCTCAGGAAAACCCTAACCAACTCGTTGAGTTATCTCACTAACTCGCTAAGTCCATGCAAAATCCAAAATGCGGGAAACCTTCATCCAACTCATCGAGTTCCTTTAGTTCTTTCCTCATTCAGATGTTTTTAAGAGAAAGCAAGGCTCCAAACTACAGATCTGACCTCCTAGGGTGTAGTTTCCACATAAAGTTAGAAACTTTACATGCATGCAAGGCTTCAAGAAGCAAAAACACTGAAAACTAGCCTTAGAAAGAGGTTTAGGGCATGGAGAAGGGCTAAGGCTTCACAAAGTTTGAGGCTTTATCTACATGAGGGCCTAGAGGAGTCCAAATTTGAAGTTACAACTTTAAATCATGCTCAAAACCAGAATGCTTCAACGATAAGCTAAAAATGACCCTAAACTCTTGAATGAAGAGATATAACAAGAAAATGATCAAGGTAGTGAGTTTTTACCTCCAAAAGGATTCCAAAACGATGTAGATGTTGGATCTACAAGCCCCTTCCCGTTTCAAGGTTCTAAATATTCAAGTCTCTTCAAGAAACACAACAAACACACACTTTTAGCCTCACAAACACTCAAAATAGGGGTTAGCTCGATTAGGGTTTGCTTCTAGATGTGAAAAGGTGATAAGGAGGTTGGAAAGGGGACTTAAGGTCCTTTAAATAGGGTGCAAACCCTAAAGATTAGGATTTTCATAAATAACCTCAGCTCGTCGAGTTGGGTCCTCCAACTCATCGAGTAGGTTCCATAAAACACGTGGTCTGATCAATCTCTACACAACGAGTTGGGGGCAACCAACTCGTAGAGTAGGTTCTATAAATGTGAGTTTAAAACTTCAAACTAATACTAAGAGTCGGGAAGTTACATTAGACTATTTGGGGGTGTTGGGTAATTTAATTAACCAAAATAGGATTTATTTGGTTAAAATAAATAAAAGGAGGGAATGAAATGGTTTAAATTGAATTAATGTTTGTGTCTTGGACTGATATTGTTAAGAAATCTCCATGGGAGGGGTTGTTTTGTTTAAAATACACCAAAGTTTAGGGAATGGACTCATTTTGCAGAAATGGTTCAACTGAGGGTATATTTGTTCATTTTATAAATACAAAATGATTATTGGGCTTTTATAAAAAGAAATCTTATGGAGGGACTGTTTTTATTTAACGATCCAAACTAAGGAAAAATTAGGGCTATTTTGATTTAAGACTTCAATTTAATGGTTTGGTTTTGCCACAATCATCAAATATACAAAAGGTCGCGTCTTCTTTCATCTGGTCAGATCGAGAAAGGAAACAAATGAACCAAGTTCGTCAATGAAAGCTCCAGTAATGGTTGAGGTCACAAGAAGGGGGGGGGGGGGTAAGGACATGACATAATTAAAAGAAAGTTAGGATAGGATTACAAAATTAAGGACATGACAAAATTAATAGAAAGTTAGGATAGGATTATACCTTAATGATGTGTCGGGATGGATTGTTTAAATTATAAGAATGATTATATGGATAATCTTGGGTATGTTTGGATAGGGCTCTACTATTCAGAAATAGAACAACTATTTCAACAGAGCAAGAACTTTGAGATCAACTTAAGTCTTAAACACTCAAACTTAACTTGTTTATTTCATATGGGCAAAGGCCCTATTTATAGGCTCAAGAGAGCCAGTTACATAATTGAGTTACAATCATTTGATTGCAATACGACATATATATATTTACATTAAAGCCCCTAGACTATTGAGGGTTATATACTTTATTTCATATCCTAGACATTACTTTATATCACATTACCGACAATAATAATCACACAAAGACAAATTACAAATAATTATAAGGATAAATAATTACAATTCCTTTCACAATGAAAGGACGTGTGTCTTCAATAATGTCTTCAATACGTCATTGCTTTCGGCATTCCTCCCGCCACCGAAAGGACATATATTTCTGAATGGTGAGTGTTTTAGTCATTGTTGACGTTAGTCTTCCATAAACGGTGTTTCTTCTGTATTTTCTTTACAATGACTGAAATTACGTCGTGGTGCATGCATGATGTGTTTACAAAGTTGTTTCTTAAGATCAACGTGTAATTCAGCTAGATGATGAGAAAGTTTTTCAAAAGTTTTAATTGTTTGTAATGCTTCTGGAGTGATTTCACTCTCTGTTAGAGAATAGATAACGAATGTTTTACTGGTATAATTCACTCTGACTCTTGATTTTTGATCTTTTCCATTGCCTATGCGAGATGATCCTAAATAGACTCCGACTAGTGCAAAAATTAGATGATCATGTGTTGATGTTTCATGAGGTAGATCATCTTTTGTTGGTTTCGAGCCATTGCTTATTACCATATTTGCAAAGGTAATGCTTGGGATAAGTAGTTGAGAGTCTTCATAAAAAATGGGGTAACTAGAATGCATTTTGTTGGTTTCTCATTTTTGATGAAGACTCTCAACTACTTATCTCAAGCATTACCTTTGTAAATATGGGAATAAGCAATGGCTCAAAACCAACAAAAGATGATCTACCTCATGAAACACCAACATAGGATCATCTAATTTTTGCACTAGTCGGAGTCTATCTAGCATCATCTACCATAGGCAACGAAAAAGATCAAAAATCAAGAGTCAGAGTGAATTATGCTAGTAAAAATTTCGTTATCTATTCTCTAACAGAGAGTGAAATCACTACAGAAGCATTAAAAGCAATTGAAACATTCGAACAACCGTTTGAAAAACTTTTTCATCATCTAGCTGAATTAGCCGCTGATATCAAGAAACAACTTTGTAAACACATCATGCATGCACCACGACGTAATTGCAGTCATTGTAAAGAAAATATGGAAGAAACACCATTTATGGAAGACTAACGTCAGCAATGACTAAAACACACACCATTCAGAAATATTGCCCTTTTAGTAGCGGGAGGAATGACGAAAGCAATGACGTATTGAAGACATTATTGAAGACACACATCCTTTCATTGTGGAAGGAATATTAATTATTTATCCTTATAATTATTTGTAATTTGTCTTTGTGTGATTATTATTGTCATTAATGTGATATAAAGTAATGTCTAGGATCCGAAATAAGGTATATAACCCTCAATAGTCTAGGGGGCTATAATGTAAATATATATATTATATATATATATATATATATATATATATATATATATCGTATTTCAATCAAACAATTGCAACTCAATTATGTAATCGGCTCTCTTGAGCCTATAAATATGGCCTTTGCCCATATGAAATAAACAAGTTAAGTTTGAGTGTTTAAGACTTGAGTTGATCTCAAAGTTCTTCCTCTGTTGAAATAGTTGTTCTATTTCAGAATACAGAACCCTATCCAACCATACCCAAGATTATCCATATAATCATTCTTATAATTTAAGCAATCCATCCCGACGCATCATTCAGGTATAATCCTATCCTAGCTTTCTATTAATTCTGTCATGTCCTTAATTTTGGTAGGGGGGGGGGGAAGGGCATCGATCTCCATCGACCCTTATGGGCTTAATCTCTGTCTAATTTGGAAAGGATAAATATAAAAAGAAGGAGCAACAATCATCGATCCCATGTAGGGAACCACCGATGCTTGGCTTGGATGAAGAAGGAATAAGAAAATGATGGCATGTGAGACTGTCGATGATTCTATAGGTACATGGTTAGCTGATCAACGAAAAGAACGAGAGATAATTGGATGTGGTGTTGATGGGGAAAATGAAGGGTACAGTAGCAACGACTGGCGCCAGTGGAGGGGGTGTTTGGTTGTTACGCAACCAAGAGGAGGGGAGGATGAGGAAAATGCCACCATTTATGGTAGTGAGGGAGGTTGCTCCATCGCTTTGTCATTGTTATTCATTCTTTTTCTCGCCAGGTAAAGAGAGACAAAGAAACAAACAGAGGAAAGAAATCAACAGCTGGTTGGGCGTTTGGCTTTCTGGGAAATTCGATGAGAAGGAAGGAAAAAGAATGGAAGTTGGAAGGAACAAAGGATACCCATGTGATGAGAGGGAGTCCAGATCAGAAGAAACGACCTCCTTTCATCTGGTTCGTTTTTCTAGCGAGTCAAGGAAGAAAGGGAGAATGGAGGTTCGAGATTAGCAACAAAAGGGGAGGTGTTTGGGTCATGCTTTTTGGCAGAAATAGAGGTTGTTACCCCTTCTTTTTGGCACGAAACTGCTTCTAATGGAGGCTTCCTCCATACACCATACGAGAGGGAGAGATGAGAGGTTAGAGACATGGAGTACGGGAGACGAAAAAGATGAGTGTAAAAGAAGCTTTTGAATGTGTAGTTATATAATAAAAAACTTAGAAGCAACCTCAAATTTGGTTCATATATATATATATATATATATATATATATATATATATATATATATATATATATATATATATATATATATATATATATATATATATATATTCATTCTATATTCATATATGTATTTATTTAGGACTTGATAAACAATTCCCTTATATATAATATATATCTTTATATATTATGAATTTGTTGTATAATTAAATATAACACACAAAATCATATCTTAGAAAAATATTTCTTGTGCAACCACAATCATGTATTAAATCTGCTCAAATACGAGAGAATCAATCATATACATTCCTAACTCAATAAACAATTTCTAATCTATAAACTTCGAATTATATATATATATATATATATATATATATATATATATATGTATGTATGTATGTATGTATGTATATATTCATATATGTATTTATTTAGGACTTGATAAACAATTCTCTTATATATAATATATATATCTTTATATATTATGAATTTGTTGTATAAATAAATAGAACACACAAAATCATATCTTACAAAAATATTTCTTGTGCAACCACAATCATGTATTAAATCTGCTCAAATACGAGAAAATCAATCATATACATTCCTAACTCAATAAACAATTCCTAATCTATAAACTTATATATATATATATATATATATATATATATATATATATATATATATAAAATTCGAAGTTTATAGATTAGGAATTGTCTATTGAGTTAGGAATGTATATGATTGATCTTCTCATATTTGAGCATATTTAATACGTGATTGTGGTTGCACAAGAAATGTTTTTGTTAGATATGATTTTGGATAGATATGTTTTGGATTACATTTGGGTTCGGTTCACCCACATGCTTGTACTTGTAACATTTTTCACGGTAATAAGTAGAATATATTTTATATATATTTATTTTTCGTGATGTATACGTCATACCGATTTATATAAATTTTCAAAAAGTGCTTGATAAATGTTCGGGTCATGGTGATTGCAAAAATTCAGACGAAATTGAATTATGATATATTGATCCCTATGAAATGACGTTTAAGGCTTCGCAGTTAATTAATGTGAAACGGTTTAGCGGTTTTAAGAAAACCACTATTATACTTGTTTTGGATTCTTAAAACGGTCATATCTTTTGCATACGAACTCCATTTTGGATGTTCTTTATATTTTCGGAATCAGGGAAAAACGTACTACAAGACTAGAGTGTTTGTAATTCTCGCAACGGCTTAATACAAAATTTTAGTTTTTCAGACGCATTCTTAAGGTTGCAGTTTGAGTTGTTTGATTTGTTTGCCAGTTTACATATTTGGAAGTAAGATACCATATGATATTTCATAATATTTTAAATAAAATCATTTATTTCACATAAGATGCATTAAATTTCAATGAGTCAAATTACCAAGAGATTTGCTGTGAACTTGACCGTTCACAGTCTTTGACCTAAAATCTGGGATGTCGCATTACCTCTCCGTTAAGGGAATCTCGTCCCGAAGTTATTTAGTTCTAGATTATTTTCTTCCACTATCATTTCATTTCACTAATGGAGGGAGCATCACTGAAAAATTGTGGATACTTTAATTTCATCTTGTTCTCACATTCACAAGTAAATTGCAACCCTCACGAGATTTCCATAGGGCATTTACTATAGTAATGTGGATTAGTTTGAGGCTTTCGATTTCTTGATCCATGATCTCCACTGGTTCCTTCGTGAAGTAAAGTTTAGCGTTAATCTGGATCTCATCGAGAGGAAAGACAAGGTTCTCATTAGAGAGACACTTCTTAATATTACACACCTGGATGGTAACATAAACTTTGTTGATTTCTTGAGGGGAATAGAGTTTGTCAGCCATCGAACCAACCGTTGATTGCATTTAAAACAGTCCTATGTAACGAGTGTTCATTTTATCTCATTTTCCTTATCTAATGAAACATTTCCATACCGCGACCTTTAGTAGGACACGACCTCTTACTTTGAATTGTAAGTGTTTGCTTCTTACGCAAGCATAGCTTTTGTGATGACTACGTGCGACCTTTAGTCTGTAACATCCCGGGTTCTCGGGTATTTTCAAATCCTTCAGTTGGTATTTTTATATGTCAATTTTGGTCCTTGATGTTGGTTGGAATTAGCCTTAAGAAGCCCTAGTGGCAAATTGGTAATTCTTGGGAGCTTGAGTTGTACGTTGGGCGTACATGTGGGTACGCTAAGAGTGCTAGGGTATGCCTTAGTAAACTGGGCATACCCAAATGTACTCAGGGCGTACGCATGTCCGGATGAAACCCTAATTTGTAGGGTTTGTGGAGTATTTAAGCACCATTTTGGGGTCATTTTGACTCACTCTTTCAGCCTCCAACTCCCTTATCCATTTTAAGAGAACCTTGACCCCCATAGTGAGCATCTTGAGCTTATAGTGTGATTAAAGGATAAGTTAGTGCATCAAAGGAGTCAAGGAAGGAAGCAAGCTTATAGATCTGAGATTATCATCTTCTTGGGGACCTCCAGAAGGTATAAATATTCTACCTTTATGATTGGATTGTTTAGATATTGTTTTGGTTACTATTTGGTATACTTCTTGTCCCAAGAGTCCCAATATTGGTTATACTTTCTTTTGGACGTGATGGGTTGTCCTTTAGACTCTAGGATGGGTCCTAAGGCATAAAAATGAGGTCCTTTAAGATAGTTTGGTCCCTTTTTCTTTGTAGGAGGTGTTAATGGATAAAGAACACACAATAATCCCTTTTGGATGAACAAAGTATTAAAGTTTGAAACTTTATGGTTTTAAGGTGCTTTTGACTTTTAGATCTGAAGTATGAGCTTCGGTGCTTAGTCTGTTAAGCACTTATAATGATTTTATGAGAAGCGAGGTTACGCCTCACGTAAGTTGATGTACGCCCCACGTACTGAGTCAATCACCCCGATGGTGGTCAAGGCAAGGTGATGTACGCCCAACGTACCGAAGCGGCACCCCTCGCGTACACCTTCTATTCGGGTTTCAGAATTTGGGCTTCGGGTATTCGGACA